CCTCTCTTCCAGTAAAAGCTCATCAAGGAACTTTCCATGGGCAGCCTGATAACTTCTCCTGCCTTAGTGTTCTCACCCCGCCACGAGTCTCCCTCTGTGTCACCGAATTATCACATTGTATGATGATTCTGTTCCTCTGTTTCTCCCTAGCTCGTCCCTGAAGGGCAAGGACTGTTTGTATCCTCAATGCACAATGTAGTTTTTGACTCATATTAGGTGCTCACTAAATGTTTACTGAGTTGGATTTCTCTCCGGTCAAAGGCAATGTCTTTCAAATAAAAGACACCGGATGCCTCTGCCTAAAGGTTTGAGATCACCGGTAAATTGTAATCAACTGTCTCTTCTCAAGGAAGAACTTTCCTCCTCAAAGGCTATTTTTCCCCCAGCCTCCGCCTAGCCACAACTTGCCCTAATGCAAACCCCACAGATTTACAGCTGGCTGTTCCATTCCTTACTCAAGTTAATTACAGATTAGTTTTCAGGTACATTGAACAAAACTTTGATTGTGGTTGTAGAGTCGGAGCTTCTAAGAAAGATCCTAGAGATTTTAAGAAAGATCATAACTGTGGCCCATTCTTCATAAAGTCTCCTATTTAGAGTATCTTTCTTTGTGTCATTTCTAGTACCATACACTGTGATTATGCCCACCCCAGGGGATGCCTCAGATTATCCATGGAAAACACAAAAATTCTCACTGTATAAGTATGCATATGTATGTGCATATATGTTATATGCACACATATTTGATTAAATGACTAAAAAAGATGCAAAGTTTCCCTGGACTTCACCAACAGACTGATACTAGCATCTCGCTGTAACCCCTGGCTGGTGGTGAGGTGACAGAGGGCTCCTCCAGGAGAGCAGGAGTGCACAGAGGAGCTGATGTGGCTCATTTGTTCGGGTGCTCTCAGCATATTTCAAATTATTGCTCTTTTCATGCACCCAGTTAAAAAGGCTTATCTATTATCTACTTTTAACTAATCTTCACAGAAAGACACATGGCTTATCAAGTTTCTTGCAAAGAAACTGCAGTTTGAGGATAATGATTTGCATGAAAGCACAAGAGAACTTTGAACTCTCTGTCAGCCGCCTTGTGGGGTAAAGAAACAATGATAATCTAATCAGATCTGTCAAGAAGCCAGGCCAAAAAAATAATTAAGAATGATCAAGGAGGCAATCTGAAATATGAAAACACAACTTCTGATGAAAAAGCTAAATTTCACCCTAAGGGCACCCTGAGTTCTGAGAGTATTAGCCAATGATAGTAGAACATGTGTACCATTTAGAAACTAATATATGCAAAGATAGGGAGTTGCAAGTTCAAGAATATTTTATTAAGAGAGCGCACGATCAAAAGAGTTTAGAGCCTGCTCGCCTGTTCTTGCTTCTAAAAGCATTTTTTAAAAAATTTCTCTCTGATCATTTTAGTCAATTGTAGAAAACTCTGAAATGCATGGAAGCTTCAAACCCAAGAAAATATCACCCATATTCTTCACCACCACAACATAAACATTATTCACATTTGGTGAAATGTCTCTGCTATCATCAACATTTCATATAAAATGTCTTTCACAAAGGGAAGCTGAACCTACAGGAAAAACTTTACGGAGGGACCCCTGGGTGGCGCAGCGGTTTGGCGCCTGCCTTTGGCCCAGGGCACGATCCTGGAGACCTGGGATCGAGTCCCACATCGGGCTCCCGGTGCATGGAGCCTGCTTCTCCCTCTGCCTGTGTCTCTGCCTCTCTCTCTCTCTCTCTCTCTCTCTCTCTGTGACTATCATAAAGAAATAAAAATTAAAAAAAAATTAAAAAAAAAGAACCATGGTTTGAAAAAAAAAAAAAAAACTTTACGGAACACCACGTTCCACCATGGGCCGCCGTGTCTAGCCTCCCTGGAGGAATGTCTAGCTCCCATGGCAGGAATGCAGCTGTGGTCCTGGCTTTTGAGCATTTGCCTACTACATTTGGGATAAGTTTCACTCTTGGTGGGGGTGTCCTATGACCTCTCCCCAGGCTCTACTGTGGGCGCCATACACACCATTCTTATTGAGGAAAAGGAGATTGGCTCAGCAACTCCTGTACTATCCTAATTTTTAAATTAATGAGCTCATCTCAGCCATCGGTGACATGGTTAAGGAGTCATGCTCAGATTCCCAGATGTCAGGGGTGCAGGACTGCTCTGGTTTTCAGTAATCCCCAGGAATTCCGAGTATGTCCATCAGATGCCTTCCTCCAGGGCAGGGCACCATAGCTGAGGGTCCTGCAGTGACAGCCCCTGCCCTGGCTAATGTCAGCTCTGACATGTCCCTCACTACAGAAGCCGCCCTCGGTTTCACATTCGGACTCTTCTCTAGATGTTTGCTCATCATCTCCTCACAGGGAAACGCTAGCTGGTATTTGAAATAATCTCCTCACACTCAAAAATAACTTCTGACAATCTGAGTTGAAGCAGAACTTTTCCATAGGTTTGGCAGCATTTCCATTTTGATCTGAGATGAAATGCAGCATTTCCCAAGCTTTGGGCCATACCCTAGATGGGGAACAAGACCCCGTCTAAAACCTGGATGTCACTGCCTAACCCAGATGCTGCTGAACCAAACCACTATTTGTATCTCCGTCATTTTACTAGACCGTCATACGATGCCCCCACTTTCGCTCTGCTACATACCAACTATCCTAGTTGTTGTGTAGTATAGAGGCTGGGGAGGAGAGGAAATTTTTATACAATACAAAGGCTGAAGAATTCAAATTCTGTAATTGAAATAACAAGCTCCTCTGGCACAACATTTAAACAGGATCCAGCTTTAAAGTATTTGATTTATAGTTTTTGTTTTAAAGCATAATTTTGGCATACACTCTGGATTATTTTTCAGGAGTGGAAATGGATTTTCCCAGAATCCCTATAGGTAAGCACACCCTAGTGATGGCCCTCACTCCCTCCAGCTAACACCAGGGGTGCAGTTCACGGCGCAGTGAAGCTATCTGACACATTCTGCAACTAAACCAGCAACCCAAACTTCAAAACCATTCCATCTCATGAAATAAAACTCAAACATCCAAACTCTCAGATTGTTTCCTTCCTCTTACACAGTTTTCGATGTGGATCTGGAATCATAGGAGAGTACATAAAAGACTACAACAGCAGAATCACCACCCTTTCTGACATAATTTCACAACGGATAAATTCACCTTTGGTAGGCCCAGGGGAGCTGAGGGGTGGTGAGAGTGCCTGGGGCCTGCACCAAATGTAACGCTGTTTATTTCGGTGAGGCTCACCCACAGTTACCAAAGATTAACAACTCCTACCCCCTCTTCCCTTTCTTTGGTACCTTTGTCATCCCAGCTTTTTAAAGTTCACCATATTCACTCTGCTGCCTATCAAGATCTCTAATTTTCCACTAGTATCTTCATTGTTCTTGCAACATATTTTTTTAAGTATACATTTATTTTTTTAAAGTGTATTCATTTTAAGTAATCTCTATGCCCAACAAGGGGCTTGAACTCACGACCCCGAGATCAAGATTCACATGCACCTCCAGCTGAGCCAGCCAGGCACCCCACAACTTATGTTTTAATACTACTGGCCACCTGAAATCCTTTTGAGTGTAGATTCAAAATGAATTAAGTAAAAAGGACACATTAATTCATCCAAAGTCATAGAATAAGTTGGAAGGATAATTGAGATCTAGATTTAAAGACTTACCCTTTCCTTTGTTCTAGAAACTGTCCAGAATGCCCCCCTTTTAAAGAGATAGTCTTAAGCAAGAAATTGCAGTGGCTTCCAGGGAGGCAAAGGTAGAGGTGTGGTTTTAAGAAGAGAAAGATCGTAAGACAGTAAGAGATGGGAAGGATTGCTTTAGGACTGTTTTTCTTGAATATTTCTGATTCTCAATATAAACAGTGTTGGTCACAGAATTGAAGAAAAGAGTATCTTGCCAGGACAGTTCTCTGGTCCCGCCTGGGACTGGGATTAGGATATCAGAATTTCAACATTAAAAAAAAAAAAAAGCAATTTCCTTCCAAACCAGTTTCATGAAGTTTCCACAGATATTGTTAGGAAGATCATTCCCAGACACCCAGAAGCCCCAACTGTGAGGAGCTGGTTGGAATGCAAAAAAAAAAGAAAAATGTTAAAAAAAAATGGTGGAGAGTGCTTTCCCTCATACCACACCAGCAGGGAGCAAAGAGAAGATAGTACCACTTTCCTTTAACCCTTTCCCATCCCTGAAAAGGACAAAGTGGCTTTGGGTGTTGGATACTCTTCACACCCCAGGAACCCTACCGGCCTGGCTTCAGTTACTGTTTCAAAGCAAGAAATAATAAAAGGTGGATATTATGTGGAGCACACATTATTAATAGGCATCACAAAGGGGATATAAATATACCAGAACATCTGATTCCGACCTTTCCAGAAGGAACTGGGAAATCTATGAGATGAACCAAGATGGCGTCAGCACAGCCTTACTTTCTTAGCGAGCACAAAGCAAACTTAGCGAGCCTTTCTCCCCGTGGCTCCTGACTTCCTGACTGCTCTGTGGCTTCATCTGGCCCCTGACCTACAGTCATCAGCCGAGAAGGCCTCCAAATTTTAATACCTACCTACTCCTGAAGCTAAAGGATCCAATCACTAACTCAAATGGCCAACGCCATGGTTTTCAGGAAACAAAAGTACCAAGGGTCCAATAATCCCCACAAAAACCTTCTCGGTGAAGTAGTTCCCAGACAGAAAAATGAAACAGAGAGGCTCTGCTTGGCAGAGCAGGTGAGAAGGACGGAGGCACAGAAAAAGGCAAGATGTGAATTGGGAATTTGGTGATTCTAGACATGTATCCTTAATACACAATCTCCCTGTACACTTTTCCCTTAGGGTACTGCCCGAGGCTCCCTTCCCAGCCCCTGAAACAGTGCCCTGGACCAGGAAGCAGGCCAGTATGCAGCGCCTCCAGAATTCTCCATGACTCCCTTCCCGCTCCTTTCCCAGTCCCCTCCCCCACCTCTACCTCAATGGTATACTGCTCGAAGATGCGCAGTTGCAGGAAGATGTCCAGCTTGATCTTCCGCTCGTGGAACAGCTCCTCCATCTGCACCTGGGCATCATCCAGCTGCTGCAGGACCGACTCGATGTGGCTGATGGAGCTGCTGTGGGGTGTCTTGTTGTTGGACACAGCCGAGTCCCTGTGGCAGAGTAGGGGGGGCAAAGGGAGAGGCCTTGCCATGTTAAAAGTGATATAGGGGCAGGGGGCCTTCCTCATGTGTGTAAGGTGGGTGTGAATCACCACCTGGGTCATTGAAGACATTTATCAATGCCTACTATGACCCTGGGGCTATCTCTTAAGTAGGTGAACCAACAATACTCATGTCTTCTTTGAGGTTCACAGCGCTGTAGCTCCGAGGCTAGCTGCTCTCCCACTCCTCAGACAGAATCGTGAAGGGGATCGGACAAAGGAACGTACAGAAAGGGCTCTACGTAGCAGAACATATTAGGGAAATGGACTGGTTCCACACATACATGTAGCCTACTGTGCACAGCTTGAATACACACACGTGCGCATGCATGAGAGTCGACACACTGACCACAATGTGGAAGAGCAGACAAACTAAAGGCATATGAAAAAAAAATCACCCTTCCTAGTTCTACCTCACTGGATTGTTGTTAAATAAAAAGGATCATGGCTACCAGAATTATTCACCCACTTTATAATGCTCTGCCAAAATCATGGGCTTGTGTCATTACACAGGCTCCAAACGGTAGTTAGGAAAGCACGGGATCTAGAGGCTGCAAGCCTAGATTAAGTCCCTGCGCTGACACACGGGGGCTTGCCGCCTTGGGACATCATCTCCTGGAGCCCCAACTGCCTCCTGCAGAGTGGACTTAATAACCCTCGTTCTGCTCACTTCGTGCTTCGCTGTCAAGTAAGACCGTGCATGTGAATATGCCCTGGGACCAGAAACATGCTGCATGAACGGCTGTTAATCCTGAAAGGACATAAGGAGTGTCGAGTGCTGACTGGGACACAGGTCCAGCTGGGGAGAGTAGAGGGTAGGTGCGCAGGAAGCTGGGACAGCCGTGAGGTTGCTAAGAGGATGAGTTCTGATTTGGGCATTAAAAGAAAAGGATGAACCCAGCCAAGCAGGTGGGAGATGTGCACTTTCTGAGCAGGAGGGTCTACATGAGAGTGGCAGGGGGAGGTGACATGTCATAGAAGGGAACCCAAAGGAAACCTATTGAGCTACTCAGAGAAGTAAGGGGTGGGGAGACCTCCAAAGGGATCATCATAACAGGACAATTACAGGTGTTTAGAAGTTAAGAGTCTCTAGGGCCCTAAGCTTGATATAAATGGGCACATTCATGATCTTGTGGCATTTGGTGTCCTATGCAATGTAAGAAGTCAGAAGACAGGGGCACAATCAGCAGCAGGCTTTCTGACCACCAGTCCTACTGGCCTGTGTGTGTCTCAGGAGCAGCAGTATCAGAGCTCATGCTGTTTCCAAAGGGGGCAGAAGGCCAGTGGTCAGGGGCCCGTCCTTCTGTCACTCTGAGAGCTTCCAATTCCACCCTGGCCTCTTGGGGGCACAAACCCCCAGCATCGCACAGATCCCCCAGTCGTGAACAGACTATGAGGCCTGTACTTGATCATCTGCTTATGCCTTTGCTGAGGACTCTGCGGTCGGAGGACATGCTCATTCTTTCGGACCGTTCCTCTCCGTCTGTTTTCCATCTCGCAGCTTCCAGGAGGAAGAGAATGACTTCTGACCGTTTTGTCAGTGTCACACTCACTAGGAGTCACAGAGATGTTGCAAAAGCCACCTGAGGTGCTTTGGTGATGAGTGCCAGAAGGGCCACAGAGACCGAGGTCTGCGTGCTCCGTGTGCGTGAGCCGGCCGCCCTTTCCCGCTGGGCTCCGTTTACTTCCTTTCCTCTGACCTGTCTTGAGATCGGGGAGGGGAGCCCTGGCTAGAGGCAGGCTGGGGGCCGGGGGGAGGGTGGTGCACACAGCCAGGCTTCCCTTGGAGACCCCTGGAATTCGGCCTTAGAACAGGATCAGGCTGTCGTGGCCGTCGCCTCACGGGGTAGCCTTCAGGCCTTCAGCATCACGCAAGGCTGGTGGCGGGCGCAGGTGTCATCCCCGCAGACCCAGCCCACGCATAATGAAACCCGCCAAGCTTATAAACAGCAGTTGGATGGAAAACACAAAACCATCGCAAATTCTGGGGCTGACGGGGCTCCTGGAGCTGCCCCTTAGTCATGCAGAGGAGGCAGTGGAGGCCCAGAGAGCCGACGGACTGCCTGCTATCTGGAACTTTTTGCGGGAGCCAAGAACAGGAGGGTCCCTAGGCAGGCAGATGGTCATGCTGAGCTGGGGACATGGTGGGGGGGGGGGAGAAGGTTGTCTTGTTAGGAGGCGACAGGAGGACCCGCCACCTCTCCTGTGTCGTCCGCAATCGACATGGTTAATTTCCTGTGGTAACTATGGTAACCCTCCTAGCTTGTCTAATCGGACAAAGGTACGGGAGGGGTGACAACAACCCTGTCTGGTTGAGGTGATTCCCTCAGGCCCCAGGGCTGGCCTGGGACTTGCTGATGAGATCATTTCTGTCCCAGCACTCGGCGATTTCAGGGTGGAACAAGTCCCTGCGGGCAGACACCATTAGCGCCACCGAGTCCTATTTATGCAGCACCTGGGCATGGGGGGTGGTGCTGTGGGCTTGCTCAAGGCCTCGTGACATTTTATCTGAGGAGCCAGAGCCCTTGACAGGGACAGGAAACTGGATATTGATGCCAACAGAAAGGAGGGGCAACGGTGTGGAGGATTCTAAACGAATATAAGGTTTTCGACAGGATTTTCCTTCATAGTGGTGTCTGTTTAGGTTGATATAGAAAGAGTTGTATTTTCTGGGCAGCAAGGGATGGTGGAAAGGTCACATGTGGGTGATGGAGGGCAGAGTAGGACAACGAAACCCATTCTCTATATCCCCATGGGGCCAGAGCCAACCATTTTTGCCAACTGGGGCACCAGCGTCTAGGGTTCAGCCTGAGATCAGAAGCCAAATAACACTATGCCCCATGATGGTTATTTCTCCACGTAACCCAATACGCCATAATTCTGAATTAAGGTATTATTTACTTTCTGTTGAATGTTGCTAATTTTTGTGTTTCTGGTACTTACTGATTGCTGAATAACATCACAAATAATAACTAGTTCTTTGAAACATCAGAGCTCTTCCATGTACTGTTTCATTCTAAACTCAAGTTGGGTATGACACAGGCATTTCTGTATCTGACAGATGGAGAAACTGAAGCTCACACAAGACCACAAAGCCAGCTGTGGCTGAGCCAAGACTGGGACATGACTTATCTCACATCTAGTCGAGGGCATTTCTCACTGGAAAGCACTGCCCATGCTGACCTGGCCTCGCTGGGCTCCCCCAGGGAGGGAGGCGCTGACCTGAGCTGCTGGATAAGGTCTTCGCCTTCCTTGATGACATTGAGCGTGGCATCCAGAGTGGCGGTCTGCTGCTGCTGGAACTGCTTGATCAGTTCCTGGACCGCATCCACTGAGTCTGCACAAACGTCCTCCAGCATCTCCTTCTGAAGGTCTTCCATCCATGTCCACAACTGTCGGGGAGAGAGCAGAGACCACTCAGGGCAGACAGGAGAGGTCAGGGCTGGGGCAAGGGCAAGAGAGTCAGACAGGGGTCATCCAACCTACCCTCAGCCAGTCAGTCCTTCTCATCAGCACACCTATATTTATACTCATGACTCATCTCTGCTACGTTGGCTCCATTAATGTCTCCACTCCCAAAGGGTGAGAACCACCGCTGGCTTAACTTCCCCGTGGTTCGGGGAAACTTGCAATCATAGAGCAGGGAGAGAGGTCTCTCATCTGTGAGGGACTAGAGGGAACAGAGGACTGATGAGGGACGTAGATTATTTCATCTTTCGGAAACAAGGGCTCTGCACACTCCAGGCCACTAGATGTTGATTCCTAGAAATGTTATCATGATTTTGGAAACACGCGAAGAATGTGATGTTCAATACGGACCAAAGGAAGATTAATTTTAAAAATGGGGGCTATGCTAAATTATGTTGTTCTTTTCAGGGTACTAGGTGGGTTAGAAGGTTGGATGCTAAAAATGTAGCTTATCTTAATTTCAATATAAGCATGAGCCATTTCCCCATGGTACTCAAGATAGGGAAATGCAGTCAGGGTGATATTACTGGTCAGGCAACTTTAAAAGAGGTAAGTATAATGTTTTGAACAGAATAAGCACCGAAAATGATGAGGAGCTAGACTGAATTACCGAAAATTCATGTAATGAAAGCTCTTCTTCATACTGAAACTAGATCTCCAGTGGCCTGCCACAGGGCTCTGCTTTTAATACTCCTGCTCATAAAATGATGGAGGGAAATGATGAGTTTGATGCTTGTTTAGAAATAAGGAATCTTCACCTGGCTAGCCAGAGAGATGAGCTCAGGGGTCTACCAGGAAAAACCAACCAACCAACAGCCCACTATGCACAGAAAAGTGATAGAATCAGATGTGGATTTTGGCCCTTATTCTTTTTCAGAACTCATGGTGTCTTTGAGTAAATCACTCCACCCTCGGCTCTCCCTGACTTCATGTGTAAAATAGGTTGAGGAAAGAAAGCATTAAATAAAATGGTTAATTACCCTCCGGTTCTAACATTTCTGTAGGTCTTCCATGTTAAAAGCATGGACAGATAACCACCTGAAGCATAGTATTTCATCTAGTTTGTTCTCAATATGGCAAATAAATCAGGGTGTGGCCTTTGTAATTAGGGATAAGAAAAGAAACAATAAAGAGAGACAAAAATAGCCTTCAAATTTCAGACAAGTTATTCTTTGTTCTTTGGGGAGGAGAGGCTCCAGATGTGGCAGGAGAGGTTGAGTTAACAAGATTAACAAGCCTAGGGGCAGCATGGAAAGAGGTATAAACAATGTCCTTCTCGGACAGGTGAGAAACTCTGAGCCTCAGTTTTCTAATCTACAAAATGAATATAGGATCTGCTCTGCTCATCAAAGATTATGGAAATTAAATTACTTACTATTAATGCATTAATAGTAAACATGCAGCATTATTAATAGGCCAATGGCATTGTGGGGATTGCTACAAGGAACACAGAATATTGTTATTCAGTGTTCTGTCATTTGGCAGCTAATAATCTGGTTGTAATTCAGTTTATTTCCTTTACAAAAAACCTTTCTTTGGTTGTAAAAACACAAAACAAGTTTTCCAGACCACAGAAGCTGGGAAACATATTCCTACATGTATGAATGTATTTATTTTAAATCAGTTTGAAATCAGGAAGTTCAGGATATATTGGTCACTGGTGCTTCATGTTATTTCACACTTTCTGGTTGCCATTTTGCCTAGGGAGCAAAACCATTTTCTACAGGTGTTGAAGTCTTTCGGTAAAAGATAATGGGTTCTCCGAAAAAATATTGTAAAGAAAGGCAATATAGCATAGTGGTTGATGGTGTAAAGCCCTAGGGACGCCTGGGTGGCTCAGTGGTTGAGCATCTGCCTTTTGCTCAGGTCGTGATCCCAGGGTCCCGGGATCGAGTCCCACATCGGGCTCCCTGCAGGGATCCTGCTTCTCCCTCTGCCTGTGTCCCTGCCTCTGTCTCTGTGTCTCTCATGAATAAATAAATAAAATCTCTCTCTAAAAAAAATAAATAAATAAAGAGTGTAAAGCCCCAAGTTCTACCATGTATCAGCTAGACAACCTTGGGCAGATAACCTACCCCCTCCAAATCTCGATTTTCCTTATCAGCAAAGTGGGGATAATAGTGTTCACCCCCACAGAGTTGTAAATATTACCAATAAGTTGATATATAGACATGTGTGCATGTCTGTGTGGAGATATACACAAATGAGTGCATTAGATCTATAAAGACATCTGTACCTATATGTATCATTTAGAAACAGTGCCTGGAATATAGGAAGTGCTATAGATTATATTTAAAAGATACTTTTGCTGCAAGTCACCTCCAGTTCCCACTAGAAGGCAACGGGAAAGTTTGAAGTACTTCTTCATTTTGGAATTGGTAAAAGATCAATACTGGATTTGGTCCTTCAGGATGCTAGGTTGAGCTGGGCCTCTCTTTGCTGCTTTTGCTGCTTTGTGCCAGGATATCTAAGGAAAGCCTAGAGACAGGCACATCTAGATATTTCTAAAAGAAAGAAAGAAAAAAGGAAGGAAAGGAAAAGTATGAAAAGAGAGATAAAAACTGTGGACACCAAGCAAGTCGTGTCAGAGAAGGAAAAGAAACTTGATGTCCTTTTTCTTTTTTTAAGATTTTATTTATTTATTCATGAGAGACACAGAGAGCGAGAGAGGCAGGGACACAGGCAGAGGGAGAAGCAGGATCCCTGCAGGGAGCCCGATGTGGGACTCGATCCCGGGACCCCAGGATCATGACCTGAGCAAAAGGCAGATGCTCAACCACTGAGCCACCCAAGTGTCCTTCTTTTATTGTTTTTCTCTTTCTTTCTTTCTTTCTTTCTTTCTTTCTTTCTTTCTTTCTTCCTTCCTTCCTTCCTTCCTTCCTTTCTTTTTCTTTTCTTTCTTTCTTTCTTTCTTTCTTTCTTTCTTTCTTTCTTCCTTCCTTCCTTTATTTTTCTTCTTTCTTTCTTTCTTTCTTTCTTTCTTTCTCCTTCCTTCCTTCCTTCCTTCCTTCCTTCCTTCCTTCCTTCCTTCCTTCCTTCCTTTTTTAAGATTCTAGAAACTTGATGTCTTGCGGGAGGACAGGCATTGAGACAGAAGACTGATCAGGGTAGAGGGATCTTGAGAATTTTCTTTGACTCAAGATAATTTTGTTCTCAGTATCATCCTTAAGCTATTGTAATGGCTTCATAGCTTAGAGGTCTTTTCTTTCTCCCCCCCCCCTTTTTTTTTTTGCTTCACGCTCAGCTCCCTGTGGAGCCCAACATGGGGCCTGAACTCATGACCCTGAGACCAAGACCTGAACTGAGATCAAAATCGGACACTTAACTGACTGAGCCACTCAGGCATCCCCATCCCCTTATTTTTAATAAAACTTGAACACTTCTGTGTTCAAGTTCTCTTTCTGAGGAAGTCCACCATGACTCATGGCACTCCCTCCTCCTGATGGTCATGTGGCTAAACAGCGGGGCAAAGAAATTGGGGACAGAAATTGCCAAATAAAAACGAGAGGTCAGTGTTACAAAGGGACTAGGTTAAGACTAGGGGGACATCTGAGGATATACTCTGATCTCTGAAATCAATATTATTAGAAAAATGTGTCCTCCCCCAAAATAGTGTTTGACTAGTGAATTGAAACTGCTTTCTCACATTTCTGCTCACATATTCTACTATATTATAAACAAACTCTTGTCTGAGGCAGAGTCAAAACCTACTTTCTGCTACGGAAAATCAGCTAAGAGATAAATGACGAGGGACAATACTTGATGTGGCTCAGCCCAGTGGTTAGCAGCCTGAAAGGAAGCGCTGGTCTACCTACAAGAGGATAAAATGTCAAATAAAATTGCTAGTGATTAAAGAGAATTTTGGAGATGGAGAAGGAGACTTCACCAAAGACAAAGGGTTAGTGACGTCTTTCTCTATTTTTCCCTTCTGTTACAAAAACAAACAAGAAGGAAAGGAGCTCTTGAATGGAACTGATACTTCCCGGCAATAATTATTGATTCTTCCCCTCTCTGCCTACACAACTACTTTACTTCAACCACTTCCTAGTTAAACTGGTGAGTGTGTGCGTGTGTATGCACATGTATGTCTGGGCTCTCCCGCTTGTCTCTAAAATCCCTTTCAGCTCTAACTTGCTATGGTCTCTCTCCAAAGGCTGATGTCAAGAAGAAATGGCTCTCTAAACTGAAACACAGGTACAGCTCAGGCACTGAGACATCCAAGTCCAAAAAGTTTAACATCAGTTTGAGGATAATTGTGATATCAAGTTAAGACACTATTTACAGGGATCCCTGGGTGGTGCAGCGGTTTGGCGCCTGCCTTTGGCCCAGGGCGCGATCCTGGAGACCCGGGATCGAATCCCACGTCAGGCTCCCCGGTGCATGGAGCCTGCTTCTCCCTCTGCCTGTGTCTCTGCCTCTCTCTCTCTCTCTGTATGACTATCGTAAATAAATTAAAAAAAAGAAAGACACTATTTACAACCTAGAAATCTTGAGTCGTGAGCCACGTGCAACCCCATGAGGCTACGCGCACATAGTCACCTCCTAATGGCAGCACATTTTAATTGCATGTTCCTAATGTAATTTTTTGAATAAGTATATATAAAGGCATATATAAAATGGACATATATATCCCTAAACTATGAGTAAAGATCAATATTCCATTCTTAGGCTGCAATTTTCCTATCTGAATGTCCTATGGGTTTCCTTCTGTGTATGTGTCCATCTGATTTATCCTTGAAGAGCATGCCTGGATTGCTTTGAAAAGAATCCACATCGGAAAGCCATTTCTATTACTAACTTATTAATTATCAGGCAGCCAGTGAGACCCAGTCAGAATGGTCTCTCACCTCAAGCTACCACAAGCAATGACTGCCCAAACCAAGTAAAATCATGGAGTATTTGAGGTCATTGGTAGCAGGAGCCACGTGTTGTTGTTTTTTTCCCCTACTATTCTGTATTTTGGTTTCTCTCCCGTAGGGTAATCCCTTTTTATCCTAACACGTTAGCACTGCATCTTTCCCATCAATCCACTACTCCCAGAATGACTCTCATGTCTCACTCACTTCTAGATGCTCCTCTTGGTCAAACACACCTGTCCTCTGACCCATTCCTTCAGGGGTCTGCTCTTTGGTTGGCCGTGGTTACTTGGTCCGTGTCGATATACACACTTTGCTGGTTTTACGTGTTCTTCCTCGCAGAGAACACACTTGGTTGTGGCCCCAAATACTTACATCCAAACAATGGACCTAATTTGAGAGGTTCTAGAACCTTAGCAGGAGTAGAGTCAAAGGAGCCTTTGAATGCACTCCACAAAATAAGTCCTAATAGTGAACCAGTGAGCTCAGGAGGGGCCAGCCCACGGAGCCCATCCTGCCTGCAGAGTGAAGCAGCCTGAGAAAGAGGCAACGGAAAAAAGGCAGAAAGGGAGACACTAGGAGGTTTGCAGAAATAATAAGGCTTATGGATGAGTGGTTATGGAAAGAGGTATTTTACCCTATAGCCTTCACCTCCTGATCGGCTACAACTGACTGCCCTAAGACGTCTAACAGACACTGGTTCCACAGGGTGAACTGCCCTACCCTCATTTTGAAGATCGTTTTCTTTGGCATCGACTACCAGCTTTTATTTCTTAAATAAACACCATGACAGTTTGGCAATTGAAATAGAAGATAAAGCAGTCTTGCTCTTGAGAGCATCATCCCTTTAGAAGACTGATTTTTTTTTTTTTTTTAGTTTGGGTTCTACAGTGGGTGGGTACAGGAATGTGTGTAAATGTTAGTGTCTGAGGTGTTTGTGGGGTGTGTGTGTGCGTGTGTGGTGCACGACTGAACAGAAAATAGCATGGAAGAATGATTTCACAGGTTTAGAAACAAATAGAAATGGGCATCTAGTGAAGCTGTGTAATAAAGAGTTAAGGTTGATTATGTTGGCCATACTCTCTTTTTTTTTTTAAGATTTTGTATATCTATTCATGACAGACATACAGAGAGAGAGAGAGAGAGAGAGAGAGGGGGCAGAGACACAGGCAGAGGGAGAAGCAGGCTCCCTGCGGGGAGCCTGATGTGGGACTCGATCTCAGGACCCCGAGATCACAACCTGAGCCAAAGGCAGGTGCTCAACCGCTGAGCCACCCAGCGGTCCCTTGGCCACATTCTTTAATTAACTTGACTCTCATATTATTACTACAAAAATACCTAAAAATGAATATTTTGAAAGCCCAGCAATTGCAGCATTTCCATGGAAACGCAGCAAGGAAAGAAAATTCTGTCTGGACAGTCTCTGCAGAGCAGATGACACTTGCTACAAATGCCTTCTCCTTGGACAAAACAAATGAGGACTTGGGTAAATTCTTCTCCCTACATCCTCCCTAACCCTCCAGACCAGCAAAATGCCAGCTGCCCTCCTGTCCCCAGGCAAAAAGAAGCTATTTGAAAGCTCAGCACAATAGATACTAATAGCTGAGGCTCTGTAAGCCCACGAAGGTCCCAGGCACATGTTTTTTCACCTCTTTATAGTGTAGCTCTTCTCTCCAAGTAGAGATGACAAATTTTATTTTTGTAAAATAACGTTATTGGGATTGTTATTTTCAATCAAACATGGCACCGAAGGGAAGTCATAAAACAAAAGAACGCAAAAGAAAATTAAGTCACTCATGACATTTAACTTCTTTGTATACTTCCTTCCTAATCTTTATTCTATGTGTATATCAAAATTGTGGTCACGCTGGACGTGCAGTGTCTCCTGTATTATACCCCAAGCCCTTTCTCATGCTATTAATGATCTTTCACAATGTGATTTATAATGACCGTATAATATTTCACTAGCTAGATGCACTCTGATTTGTTTAATGAATCACTCAGCGTGGAATATTTAGATAGTTTCTAATTATTCAAATTATGAAGAACACTGCAATAAAATGGTTAGAAGGTTTTAATCTTCCAGACTCCCATGGTCACCAAGAATTCAGGAAGCAGGGCCAAAAGGATTAAACGGACTCTTCAATCTGCAGAAGAAATGGGCCTGGAGAGTATCTTTTTCATATCCTCCTCCTGCTTCCTCTCTGGTCCTAATTAGAGTAAACCTTTTGATGTAGGAAGTGGGGAAAGGTAAAATTATGAACTTCAGCTTGGGGAGTCCTGGGAAGTCACGGTTAAATCATTTATGAAGATGGCTGTTGAGTTCCTGCTCAGAAATCTCCTGTTCGGGGGGCTCTATCTAATTCCTTCAAAATCATACCCACAACAACATTCTATTACATGGTGACACTAGTGCAAAAGCTCAGCAAATGATTGTATGCAGATAGGAAGAAAGAAAAGGAAAGAGGAGGGGCGGCTGGGTGGCTCAGTCAGTTAAGTGTCCGACTCTTGATCTAAGCTCAGGTCCTTTTTTTTTTTTAATTTTTTTTTTTTTTTTAAGCTCAAGTCTTGATCTCAGGGTCATGAGTTCAAGCCCCGTGATGGGCTTCACACTGAGCATGGAGCTTACTTAAAAAAAAAAAAAAAGAAGAAGAAGAAGGAGGAGGAGGAAGAAATTAGCCATAAGTAGCCAGGAAGGATCTATGGCAGTATTTATGAGCATCTGTTTCCCACACCCACAACCTGGCCACGCTTTACATTTCTCTGCTAAGATCGACCCTCCCCATCAAGGTCCTGCTTTGATGGCTGAAAATGTAAAGAGGAAAAGGAAGAGTAGGAGAGGGAAGAAAAGCAGAGGAGAGGAGGAGATGCAAGAGGAGAATAGGAGGGCAGACTGGGTGGCTCAGCGGTTTAGCACCACCCTCATCCCAGGACATGATCCTGGACACCTGGGATCGAGTCCCACATCGAGCTCCCTGCATGGAGCCTGCTTCTCCCTCTGTCTGTGTCTCTGCCCCCCCCCTCTCTCTCTGTGTGTGTCTCTCATAAATAAATAAATACAATCTTAAAAAAAAAAAGAGGATAGGAGGAGAGAGCATGGAAGAGCTGAGGCAAGCGGGAACAACCTTCAGGAAGACAGGTAGAAAGCTCTGCTGGATGAGAAGCTCCATAACGTAGACAGACTCTTTTGTGAGCCTCAGTGTCCCCATCTGAAAACATGTTTAAGAAAATCTAGATCATAAGATCATCATGAGGATTCCATGTATCTGGCAAGTAGTAGGTACCCTGTTAAAAAAAAAAATACTATGTCCTCGACGTTGAGTGCTTACAGTGAACCACATCTCAGGTCAGGTAAGTCACTTGTATAACTCCAGACTTAATTACTATTACTTATTATTATCAACATCAAGTAAAGAAGGGGAGAAGAAACAGAAAGGAATCTTGAACATTAGAACTACGAAGGGCCTCAGGACCACCGAATCCAACTAAAGAGTTTTATAGATGAGGCAACCCAGGGCCACGGCGATCAGCACAAGGTCCCCTGGTTCCTTAGCTACAGAATGTGGACTAGAACCCCAGCCTTTCAGCTCCATGCACAGAACATGGGAGATGGAGTGAAACTGCCCTCATCCACCACCTCCCCAGGCAGCTAGCACCCCCACAGCCCTCACGGGGAATATGACTCCCATTCATTCATGCTCCATTCCATCACCCACAGGCTCATAATTAAAAGAGAATACGCATGCCTTTGGTTTCCAAAACCATTATTAAGAATCGGGTGAGCCACAAGCAAGCAGACAACCAGGCAGGAAAACCTGGATTAAAGCTAATCCCCTTGCTTTAGAGACACTCATCAGAGAGTGGCTGTGGGTCCCATAGAGAGGAAGCACAGCCATCGTCAGGGAGCTCGCCAGCCCTTCATCTGCCTGGGGAATCTCAGTTTAGAAAACATTATCTTTTCATGTTTTTCTCTGATAGGCACTGCAATGATTTGTATTCATTCCCACCAAGTGTCAGAATAGCCTGTGAAGGAGTAACAACCAGGCTACTTAATGCATTTCAAATATCAAAAATCAACTTAATTAAGTAGGGTTAAATTTTTTTTTCCTGAGAAGCAATCAAACTTTAATTAATACTCCATTAAAATGAATTCCTGGGGGAACACAAGCATGCATACACCTAATGAGTTCATCTGCCAAGGGTGTTATTACAGAGGATGCTAAATGTGCCTCCTTGCTGGCCACTTACTCAGTTTCAGAGTGTCCCATGTTAATCAGAAACGAAAAGCCACTGCCGGTCTGCAACCCCCTCCTCTCCATGAGCCCCCAGCCCTGCCGACAGTGTAACACAATCCATCCTCCCCTCTCTCATCTCCACTTGGCGAAGGATTCGGGGCCAGATTCAAGCCCAGATGGCTTCCTCCTGCATGAGGGGTTCCTCTGTCCCCCTTCATTCACTGGCTGCCACCCCCCAATTGGGCAAGTTGAGAACCAGCCCGCTTTAACATCACTCTCTGGCAGACCTCATTAAGCAGATTTAATTCTCTGTTTTAAAAAGATAAAAGAAAAACATAGAACACATTTGCAAACTCTGGATGCCCCTCGCTGGTAACAAGGATGATCAAAGTTCCGTGGGACTGATTTCTGACGGGGCAACAGCAACCCAGAGAGGGTAGCTGTGGGGTGGGAGCCCGCAACGTCCCACTGCCTGTTGTCCAGGGAGCCCCAAAGCTCGCTAGCTGCACACTCCCTGAACTCCCTGCCTTGGTGGCCCCCTCCACACTGGAGATGAGAAGGAAATTTTGTTCCATTTGGGTCCAGACCTAAATAGGGATTATCAGGGGCAGGTGGTCGGCACATCACGGCTGGGGGGGCCCACGCCCACCCAGGCCCTGGGCCCAGCTCGGGGGGCCACCCTGCTGGGGAACTGACCTGACACCTGCCAGCCCTGCGTCCCCCCTCCCCGCCTCACCTCTTTGGTGTGCGTGTGGAAGGAGACCGACATGTCCAGGAGAAGCTTCCGCTGCTCCACGCGGCGCACGAAGTCCTGGATGCGCACCTCCAGGTGCCGCGCCGCCTTGTAGATCTCCTCGGGGTCACACTCCCCGGTCTGGGCCAGCTGCTCGGCGGCCTCCAGCAGCTTGTCCGCGTTGGTGTAGGTGTTCTGGCAGCAGCAACAGTGAGGGAGAGTCAGCGAGCAGCCCCCGGCCCCCGGCCCCCCGGCTGCCCCTGGCTCCCCGCGCCGGCCGCTGGCACCAAGGAGCCCTGTCCCCAAGCTGGCAGCCTGCCCGGCAGCTCGGCGTCAGCGGGCACGAGCCACAAGCCTCCTCTGTCCCCAGGAGGAGCCAGCGCCCGTGGGGCACATCGAGGACCCCCGGCCTGGCCGAGATGCCCCCCTGCCTCCCCCTGCCAGGCCGGAGCTGCCAGAGTCACAGGTGCCGCATCTGGGCCCCGTCGGTGTTTCCAGGTGACGACACCCGGGAAGCGGGCCACCTGTCTGGTGTCCCCCGCCCAGGTCCCTCTGGCTGCTGGTGTTTATCTCTTGGAAGGGAGCTCCGTCTTTGCAGGGGAAGGGGCCGGGGACCCCCGGGAGTCCCCGCCAGGAAGCAGCCCCAGTCAGAGCGAGGAGGTGCAGGCTATTCCCTGCAACCCAGAGAAGGCTGCTGTCTGCAGGAAGGCTGGGAGGAGCCTGGGGATTTTATCCCAAGTTCCTGCCTGCACATGCACATCATACACACACACACACACACACCACACACACCACACACACACTCCTCCAACCCATGTCTGTACACACCGTGGTATTCTCTAGAGCATTTAAAAAGGCAACCAGCTTGTAATTATTATTCATCAGAATGGGAGTCGCTGCCTTTAGGAGAGTTATGCCACGGATTCAACTTCTCCTCAGCAGGCTTCCTTTTAAACACATACCTCCTATACCCTGATTTAGAAGCGGTGACTCAAGCATATATCATATCTCTTAATACCTCTAAAATCATACATGCCCTATAGAGCGGTAAACAAGTGGTTACTGGTGAGGATGCAAATCTGGCAGCAGAAAAGTATCAAAGGCAAAGCAAACGAGAACTGAAACGGATTTATGAGCAATGGCTTTGCCTTTGAAGTGGCCCTTAGTGTCCATGGAGTTTTCATGTTTGTCTTGTTTTGGGAGGTTTTTTTTTGTTTTGTTTTTGTTTTTTTTTTTTTTTTTTTTTTTTTTTAAAGATCTGGGCATTAACGATCGAATTATACTCCCCACCCTACCATCCCCTCTGGAAACTCACATGTTGGAGTCCTAACCCTCAGAACCTCAGAATGTGACCTTATTTGGAAACCAAGTCATTGTAGATGTAATTAATTAGGATTAAGTCCTATTGGAGAAGAGTGGGTTCCTAATCCAACACAACTGGTGTCCTTACAGAAAGAACACCGTGTGAAGATGAAGCAGAGATTCGGGGATGTATCAATGATGAACAGTGCCAGCAAACTATTAGAGTAAAGAGAGGCATGGAACAAATTCTCCCACATATCCCTCAAAAGAACCAAACTGATCTTGTACTTCTAGCCTCCAGAACTGAGAGGCAATAGATGTCTGTTGTTTAAGCTACCCAATTTCTGATGCAGCCCCAAGAAACTACTCATGCACGGGGGTAGAAACTTTCAGAGGCTGTTGAGACAGACTCTTGACTGTACTGAGGAAGATGCGCAAACCTTCAGTAAACACTTGCCATGGTTTTAAGAAACACTTAGAGAGGTTCCAGTGGATCCTTAAGGAATGCTACCTGAAAAACAATAGCCTAGGGCAAATGCTGCCCCAATGCAGGTGAGGTAGGGTGGTAGTTGGATTTGAAAAGGAGGAAAAATCCTTTGGCCCCTAGTAGGAAATTCGTAGGACCACATGATCCTTCTGTGAGGAAAGAGGCTTTGCCACTTAACTAAGGGTATGTTGATTCTGGAAAGCAAATGAAGGAAGTACTCAGAGTCATGATGGAAATGCCAAGAGAGATGGGAAATGATGGGCAGGAGAGACCTCCTGGGCTGAGAGCCAGGTTGAATGAGGCTCTTAAGGGTTTATCCAGAATTTCTAGTAAATACAACCAGAACAGATGGGAGAGAGGCTTGTTTTTGTTTTTTTTTTTTCTCTCTCTCTCTCTTTTTTTTAAGGAATCCTTCATATCTTTTACCTTAAACCCCAGAGAATTTCAGGAAACCCCAAAGAAACCCAGAGGTTGTGGCTTTATAATTTCGAGGCAATAAATAAATATTTGTGGCAAAGCCAAAGCGAGCTCATTTGAAAGTTAAGTTTGGGACAAATATGAGATAAATAAAAAGCAGAACTTAAGTACTCACTGCATATAAAGTGGACAACTTGTCCCAGTTGATCTGGGACTTTCTCTGCTACTAACACTAGAAGTCGCATTGATTCTGAGCAAGTTGGGACGGCGGATCACCCCAAGACCCACCTAACGCTGTAAGTCTGTCAGGAGTACAGATCCAAATACAATGTATGCTGCCTCCAAAGATTATTGTATAATCACTCTTGAAAGAAATATGGCAACTCATAAAACTGGGCAAGTAAATAATAATTAAAGGTTAAGGTTTCCTGACATGATATAGATGCTGAGGAAATGGATACAAACTGAGAATAAAAATAGTCAATAATTATTGAATAATTTTCACATGCCAAGGACAATCTAAAGACTTATATTTAGATTAACTGCCTTAATCTTCAAAATAACCCTATGAAGTTGCTACAGTTATCAGCCCCATATTACAGAGGAAGAAACCGAGGCATGGAATAATTTCTGGCCAAGGTCATATATCTCATAAGTGATAGAACCAAGATTAAAATCTTTTCTGGTTTCAGAGCCCGAGCTCCAACCCATTACACTATCCTGTCAGATGAAGAAGGGCCTTGGCAAGCCATGCTGACGTGTTTTACCGCAAAGGCAGCGGGAAGCCAATGAACAATCCTATATAGGAGATAGATGTGATGGGTGTATAGTGTATAGACACACTGGTGTGCCTCTATACAGAGTGAAAGCAGAAGCCTAAGGATGGCCAGGATTCAGCAGAGAAGGAAGAGGGCTTCTCATTTCTTTATGCCCCTGGTACTCTATGTTTATCCCATTCCGTATCCATTACCATGCCCACAATAACAATGTGCTTCCATGGTTATCTCCCTACTGGTCTGTGAGCTTCTCAAATGTAGGTTCCATGTTTCATTCATCTTTGGTTCTTCATGCCAGAACCATGGCTGGTATACAATAGGCACTTGTTAAATGTTTACTGAATGAACAAGGCACAGAGATGGGAATGGGCATGATATGTTTGGATAAGTTGAGTCAACTTGAGCGAATTAGACAGTGGTAGGAAATCGTACTGGATATGGCAGAAAAGAGTTAGAGAATAGATTTTATAAAGGAAGGGGGATAATAAAGACAGGTAGGAGGGAATGGGGTCAATGCTAGAAGCTGGGCTCTCTGCTTTCCCTGATGCCCAGGCTGCCTTCCTATGACTACCAAAAAGAGATTCTAAACTTCAAATTCAGTCATATCTCTCTTCTACTTAAAACTGTTCAGTGGCTTCCTACCGCCTTTGGAGTAAAATATCTTAGCATGGCATGCCAAGGCCCTTCTTCATCTGACACTTGCTTTTTCTCAACAGCTTCAACTCACACATATTCCCAACAGCCTAGGAAATAAACTGCTGACACTTCCAGAAACTCATTGCACTGAATCCATCCCCTATGCTTCTGCTTGGGAGGCCTTTCTTCCACTTATTGTACATAACCAACTCTTATCCTTTAAGACCCAGCCTCCGTATCACTTTCTCCTGGAGGTCCTCTTATCCCTCTTATCCACGTCTCACCCAAATTTGGCTTAGATGTGCTCTTCTGAGCTCACAGAGTGATCTGTGCCAATCCCCTCCTTGGTACTTGCCATATTCTAATGCAAATGTTTGCCTTTCTCATCTGCCTAGAGGCAGATAATGTCTTTCATCTCTTTCCCTTAGTGCCTGGCACCAAGTAAATGCTCCATAAATATTTAGTGAATGAATTAATAAATTAACGAATACATCACTCCCCATCAATCCTAATACTCAATCCTTGGCTCTCATCAACTACGTGGTTACAAGACCTTACATGCTAGAATTCATATTCAATGTCCCATTTGGTTTATCCTACCTCCTGGCATAGTCTTGAAATAAGAATGTGCTTAGAGAATATCAACTAGAGTATTGTGAAAGCACTGCGTTGATGCCTGTCATCACCCCAAATTGGGGTACAGATCATGACAGGCTTCTGCTCATCCTCTGACCAAATAAACAACAGTTCCTGTCCCAGGGCCAGAGTTGGATTTCACTCTCGTACAGTTCTTAGGCATTCTTTGGTTTCCAAACCTTCTAGCCCCTGCCTTGTACTTGACCCCGTATCAACATTACCCAATTGATATGCCAAAAATGGGTATAAGAGCTGGGTTATTGATCCTTCAGCCACTGGGCTTTCAAGCAGGGCCTGTGGTTGTCCTGAGTCAGACAATTGGAACACGTAGATAGTTGCAATTTCTGCTCTTCTCTCCCCAATCTCTATTTCAACCAGGTAAAACGCCCTAGAAAATTCAAGCCTTCCACTCGCCTGCTGCAGCCCCAGCCCATTATTTTTTTGTTTTCTCCTCAAGGAAAAAACAGAGCATTCTAGGATAACTAGTCTCTGAAAATAGAGGCATCCCCCAAACACAGGCATGGTTTCAGACTTCCTTGGCTAAAGCAGAGGGTCAGGGGACAAGCTTTAAAGACAAGGAGTAGAAGAGACCGTGACTATAAACACCTATAGCATCAAGAGTTCCTTGGTAACAGAGTTAGCAGGGACGCCTGGGTGGCTCAGTGGTTGAGAGTCTGCCTTCGGCTCAGGTGGTGATCCTAGAATCCTAGGGTCCTGGGATCAAGTCCCGCATCGGGCCCCCTTCAGGGAGCCTGCTTCTCCCTCTGCCTATGTCTCTGCCTCTCCCTCTCTGTCTCTCATGAATAAATGAATAAAACATTAAAAAAAAAAAACCTCACAGAGTTAGCACTTTTGGCTCTATGCTCTGGACAGGAGGAAGGTTGAGGCCCAGGAGGCACTTTTATTATTCAAAAGAGGCAGTGTGGACTGGAGAATGTGAC